CCTAGGTTATCTTTTTCCATATTTCACATTCGTAAATTGCGTCTTAATGTTCTTATTTGCATATTTGCTATGTTTCATTGATTGGACAAACACAGCAGGCAATCGAGGCAATCGTTTAAATAGCGACTGCTCTCGTTCTTGGGCAACAGTTCGACTTACAGTTTTTCCTGTGTGTTCCAGTTTGTCCTGGACCGTCCATGTAAGAATAAAATGGTCTCTTCTTCATTTAAATTCTGACACGTTACTTTCTCTCAAATGCCGCGCGCACAGCGCGTCAACGTTTCTGCGACTGCGCAAAGCTAATTAATATTTAAAGGCGTCATGTGATGCGATTTCAAGTTTTCCTTTCTCTTTGGAGTGTTACAAGCTGATTGTGCATAGATAACAAGTGCAGTGCCCTTGATGGATACTAAATCCACACTATCTCGAATACCTTTCCAGAGCGCTATTCAAGGCTAAGTGTATCCCATCCTGCATCATGTTCTGGAAATAAATCGTGAGACTTTTTGCCGAGATCTCGGGAGAGGTCACGGAAACCTTTCCAATGTAAGTTCAATATTAATATAATTAGATATTACAAATAATTTGGTAGAAAAACAGCGTTATTGGTGCAAAGATGAGTTGTGGTGATATTTATTTTGTACAACATTTGCAACTGCTTTTTATCATTTAATTAGAAGCACCACAAATTAAAATTACGTCATGTTATAGGGACTACTGAACAGACATTTAGAAGCTGATTTTAAAATGCAAAGTATTTCAAATTAAAATTAAAATAAAGCTGTGTAAACACTCGCATGTTTACAACACTATAAGTGTGTCCCATAAGGTAATGAAAAGTTCGACACACACTTGTGGTCTTCACACCCACTTGAAGACTTCGGCCAAATACAGGAAATACGTCATTTAAGTAATCAAGTGGTCAAGTGCAAAGACCACAAGTGTGGGTATTTGGACAAAACCACTATCTCGAATACCGCTCCGGGGCGTATTCGAGGGTTAGTGTATCCCATCATGCACCCTGTTCTGGAAATAAATCGTGAGACTTTTTGCCAAGATCGCGCGAGAGGTCACGGAAACCTTTCCAATGTAAGTTAAATATTAATAATAATAAGATATTACATATAATTTGGTAGTAAAACAAAGTGCTACACATTTTATTGCTGCAAAGATTAGTATATTTATTTTTGTACAACATTTGCAACTACTTTTTATCACTTAATTAAATTGTGTCATCTATAGGGACTACTGAACAGACATTTAGAAGTTGATTTTAAAATGCAAAGTATTTCAAAGTATTTTGAAAATTAAAATAAAGCTGTGTAAACACTCGCATGTTTACAACACTATAAGTGTGTCCCATAAGGTAATGAAAAGTTGTACACACACTTGTGGTCTTCATGACTGTATCCCCTGTGAATTTTATATCTTCAATAAAATAAATAAATAAAAAGGGGGAAAAAAACTTGTGGTCTTCATGCTCACTTGAATACTTGGGCCAAATACAGGAAATACGTCATATAAGTAGTTAAGTGGTCAAGTGCAAAGACCACAAGTGTGGGTATTTGGACAAAACCACTATCTCGAAAACCGCTCCGGGGCGTATTCGAGGGTTAGTGTATCCCATCATGCACCCTGTTCTGGAAATAAATAACTACTGAACAGACATTTAGAAGTTGATTTTAAAATGCAAAGTATTGAAAATAATAATAAAACTCTGTAAACAATTTGCGTTTTTACAACACTGTAAGTGTGTCCCATCAGGTAATGAAAAGTTGTACACACACTTGTGGTCTTCATGACTGTATCCCCTGTGAATTTTATATCTTCAATAAAATAAATAAATAAAAAGGGGGAAAAAAACTTGTGGTCTTCATGCTCACTTGAATACTTGGGCCAAATACAGGAAATACGTCATATAAGTAGTTAAGTGGTCAAGTGCAAAGACCACAAGTGTGGGTATTTGGACAAGGCATATGTTTGGTTGGTTGTTTCGACGCACACAACAAAAGAAACTCAAAATATGACGCGAGACAAAACATCAATGAACAGAAAAGAGTGCATTAAAATGTAGGCTCTTTTCAGATTCCTGCATGTGTCTATGCGCGCTATCAAAAAGGTGATTGTCTTTTTTAACTGTAATGGCAGACTTTTATTTGTGTGCATTTAGTATCTTTCTATCATTTGATACAAACAAATACGAACACTTTTTTTTTGCTTTCTTCAGAAGATGAAGACGATGATGGGGGTGATGAAGATGAAGAAGATGAATGGGATGAATAATGCTTCTCTCTGCTCTTGGTTCACACATTTATGTCATCCAATTCAGCAAAATGAGCGGATAAAGCGGATGCTCAGTGGTAATCATTTTAGCAATTGGCATGAATCTTCAGGTTATTAATTCCAGATTAAAGTTGCACTGAATGATCTGAAGATCTGCTGTAAATCCAATAAAGCAATAAAAATCCAACTTTGATAATGACTAGGTTTCAAGCCTGTTTTGCAGTGTCTCAACCTTGTTTCAAAAACTGGTCTGTATTCAACTCCAGCTTTCAACTTCACAGTAGCTCAGTGCGAGTTCATTCAGGAAGAAGGAACTGTAGTTGAGCCAAACCAGGAGTAGTGTTAGATTTCATCCAAACATAGGACTGCCAAGCTTAACCACAGGTTTATGTTGGACATTTCCTTCTGTGTGCACATGCTTTTGACTCATCAACTGTCTTATTCCAAATCTGCCTTCTTTACAGACCCAGTAATGTTTTTCTTGTCAAGATATATCTAGTTTTCTGAAGCCATGTACAATATTCTGTGTATCTGTTGGCTGCACAGGACCTCCCCCTACTACAGGACAAATCGGAATGGAACTATCAAAAAGGTTTAAAAAGAGTATTAAAATAATGAAATGAAAATGTACTGATGATGACAATTTTGATATAGATAGATATGTCAAGTTTTCCGATAGTTAAAACAATAAATACATAAGTGGATAAAAACAAAAACAGCAGTTTATTGTTATTGCTTAAAAAAACACCTATTAGGACTCCCAAACCCCAGAATACCATGATAATAAAATAATATTTATCACAAACAATCACATTAACATGAACCTACACAAACATCTGTAAATACAAAGAGGAAATATTTAGAAAGCAACCATATTTAGGAAGTTTCTGTTTAGTTCAACAACCAACACCAAAGGAAAGAGACAACAGGACAAAGAAAGTCTTATGTGGCATTAAAGTTCTTCAGAGAAGCTGTGTCGGATGTCATTCTGCACAATGACATCTCTGTGGAGAGGAATGAAATGTGGTTTGGACTCTAGAATCTGTTCTCCACCCTTCAAGACCAGATAACATGTCTCGGGTTAAAACCACAAAGCATTTCATCAAGCGCTTTTTATACAAAGTCATTATAAATATTCCTCCAACATCCAATGAAGAGAAACACTCTTACCATTTCAAAAAATGACAATAGTGGGCTAGACAAAGTAAATGTTCTCAGAAGAAAATTATACAACACTTTTCCCTTGCTTTTGTCCTTTAGTCTGGTGTCAAGTGATATTCCATAGAAAGTGCTTGAAGAGGTAGACATTTCTGGCTTAAAACACACTGCAGATATGAAATATTTCATGCCAACTAATAAAAAGAGCTGATTTTTTGCCCATATTTTTTCTTGAGAATCCCAAGGTTAATTTAAATGTTTCAAATGTTAAAATATATATGTCTACAGGTTAACCGATTTAAATATATCCAAAAACATCTACCTCTTCCCTCTCAGCATCTCTCCATGTGTCCTGGTCCTGTTAATAAACAATACAAACAATGACATTTTCCATCAAAACCAGCCCTGTCCCACCACCAAAGAGCACAACTCACATGAATATGTACACTCTCACAATAAATATGTTGTATGGTGTGGATGAGAGAGAGAAGAAGAGAAAGACAGAGGGTCACGTGACAGATGAGGAAAGAGAGGTTAGTTTTTAATCCTGAACAGAGACTAGTCAAATACATACATTTTCTATGTACATGTGTCATTGTCACACAACACAAAGCACAGATACTGTGTTTATACACAAGCAAAAAACATGGCCACATATCACCATAGACAAACCGTGGAATATAAAATGTTTTGATTTGATGGATTGAAAGTGAGAATGTTTTTAGTGGTCCGACTATCATCAGAGTCCAGAGTCAAAGATAGAAGAGACCAGACTGAAAAACTGTATCTATACATACAGCAGTTCAAATCAGGGAAGATCCATTTGCTCATAGTAGTTGGGGGACAAGCATTTGTTTTACAAGACAAAACAAAAAGATAACTGACTTGTATTTTGGTTACAATCAAAATTGCAATGTGAAGTACGTATCAAGGCTTTTCACATCACAGTTAATGCTATGTCTGGTTTCATTGATCACAAGGGAGAGATTCTGAAGCATAATTACTACAAACAATTTTTATTTTTGCAAATCTCATGCCATTTTGGTCCACAGTCTTGTCTGAATAAAACCTTTAAATTTCCAGAGCAATGATCCAATCATGTTACAAAGAGCTGTTTGTTCCAATACAAAAAGGAGACAAAATATATAATATTTTTAGTATCAGATAAATATTTTGTTTGACAATTCACATATTTGAAATGTAAATCATTTTTTAAATGTAATTTTTTAATCGAATGGCTAATAATGTTATTGCAATTATTTAAAATTCCCAATCTATCTAAAGTTTTATCTGAAACATGTTTAAACATGCAAATGATACTGAAATATCATTTTTGGTAGAAGTTTCTTTTCAGTTCTAGGCTTTAAAATTTCTGTCATGGATCAAAACTAAAATTAAAGCTCAAACGTATGGAGGACTAGAAGTGACACTTAAAAATAAAATGATCAAAAAAAGTTATCAATGTATCATTTCATTTTTTCAATTATAAAACTATTTATTTTCATTTTAATGTTTAAATTATTATATTACTATATATTCATTTTAATTTTAAGTGCCACTCCTAGTTGTCCATACAAATTGACCTATTCTTCAAAGGACTTTAATTACAGAAAACTCTATAAAAAACTGCAAATGCCAAGAAAAGAAAAAAAACTTTGGTGGTCAAAATGATGGTAAGATATATTGTGCTATAATTGTAGCCTTGCAGAAACATAAATCCAACCATCTACTGTATTTCATGATCTGGGGATTTAGAGATGACTGACTGAATCAGTGATCTTTACATTTTGCCCAAAACACCTTTTAAAACCTATACAACGCACATGTTTTCAAATGTTTCTGATAATATTTATACTGCAGTCATTGGTGTACTGAATATTAGAATGGAATAGCTTATGTTTTACATAAAACAGCAGTAGTTTTGCTGGTGTGGTAGGATGTTTTAAGGAATTATAATAATAGAAAACTGAGTGGTTTAATGCTAGCTATGGAAGTGAGCACATCACAGCCAGATTTAGATTAGTTAGGGGAGCTAAGTGCATCAAACTGTACCTCAAAATGAAAATCAATCTAGTTCAGACTCAGTCTGACACATCGAATGAATCAGTCTAAACTAATGAATCATTTTATTAAATGGACCGAGTTTGTCTAGAGGAAGTACATAATGATGGGGCACATGGACGGGACATGGTCAACAGGGTCCCAGGTGCTGTTCCACTCACTGCTCTTGTAGCTCATCCTCTTCCTGTTCTCCCGTGTGCCTGCGGTTGTTTCGTTTGGCTTTGTGTGGCTGGCTTTGTATCTGCTGCCTGTAGGACTGGCAGTACTGGTTGATGAGACGCACCTCAGGCTGTGGGTGGAGCTGGAGAGCAGGTGGGTGGGATTGAGGGGGAGGGGGCGGCGGTGGAGGGTGGTGATGCGAATGGTGGCGGCGGTGCTCTGGTTCTATCGGGACATCTGACTCAGTCAGCGCCTCCACTATTTCCCGGTCCAGGATCCGTAGGGAGATGCGTGCCACGGTGTGTTTGAAGTTGTTCTCGGTTGCCAGGCAGTGGTAAAGGCCGCCATCTGATTGGGTGAGAGATTTCAGCAGGATGCCATGACCGGTCTTCAAGACATCTTTGTCTCGACTGAGCTGAAAAGGAAAAGGAGTCATTTAAAGTCATACAAGTTCATAATGACATGGTGTACCGTAATAAAATTCAAATTTTAATGGTAAAAATTGTAATGCGTCTTTCTTTCTCATTGGTTGTCTGTGTGTTATAAAGGTACAAATCAGACTTCAGTACATTGGTATATTAACATTATATTAATTCATGATTTTTTTCCTGTAAATTTAAGTTAAACCTGCGAAACCAAAAATTTTGAGATCATATTTTTTATGATTAAATTCTGGCAACCACAGCTGCCTTTTTTACTGTAAATTTGAATGATGGCAGAAAGCCCGATAATAGTAACATGAGTATCTTACTGCTTTTCGCTTGCCGTCCTTCTGGTAGAGCCATTTGACGGTGGCCTGCGGGGATCTTGGCTGGCACTCCAGGAACGTGCTGGTCCCTTCAACCCCAAACTGCACAGTCTCCCTCAGACGCTTCTCTACTGAGAGGGTCAGAGAACGGCCACATTCAAGTTTCTGAAGATCTCCTGCATCATTATTCATTATCATATGAGAGGCTGTTTACAAACCTTTTGCGTTGAATCCTCTGCATTGCCGTAGAGGATCTCCGTGTTTGATATCTTGCCTTCTGCTTCTCCTAAGAATTTATTCACATCGATTTCATGGTTAAAAGCTTATTGGTTATTTTAATTGTGAAATCAACTATTGCTGCTAATCATACTGTTTATTTTCTATTCTGTTTCTCTTCAGCAGATCTGATGAAAAACAATATGCATTGAAAATGGATTGACCGTGTTATCAGCAATTAAAATGGGCAGTTAATGAAGTCTAGAGATCCATTTGCACATAATTTGGACCATGGACCACCCATTGGGGTAAATGAATGTGGTCTGACCTCTTGGTAGCCGGGGTGAAAGCAGAGCAGTGTTCTCCATCCCAGGCACAGTAGGGGTCGCGGGCCAGGCAGCAGTCCGAACAGGCCTTGCCATAAACGGCACACCTGTGCAGGGACACCTGGGTAAGACCCCTTTCTGAAGACACGTACAACTGTTGCTATAAACCGCAAAAGAGAAAGAGAAAAAGTTTAGAAACTACACAGATTTTTCAGCGATCAGTTACTGAATTGTATCAGTGTCATAGCTAGGATATTAAACAAAATTGTATTTTATGCAGGGTTATTATCATATTAACTACAAAACTTACTAAACCATTAAAAAAAGCAAGTATATAAATTAAAAGCCATATTAAGAACTAATAAAAAGGACAAAAATTTACAGCAAAATTACTCAAACTTAAACTAATTAAAATGAAAATAGAAAATATAACAATAAAATCTCATTCAAAATTAACAAAACTATAATATATAATATACAGGTACATCTAAAAAAATTTGAATATAATGAAAAAGGTCAATATTTTTTGTCACTCATTTCAGAAAGTGAAACCCATATACAGTGGGGAAAAAAAGTATTTAGTCAGCCACCAATTGTGCAA